CGATTCCATCCATTAGCCACTCGTAGGGAGCTATTTGACTAAGTGCATTGTTTTAAGATTTAAAAAGTAAAGAATATTTTATATTTTTATGTACGTTTCTTTGCAAAGCTATATTTAATTATAATTTTCTTTAAAAGTATATTCGTATAATTGAAGAATATTTTGTATGTACCGGTACATCCACCACATATTTTATTTCACCGAGTAAGTTTTTATCATTTTATTTTTAATTGTATTACTTATATCGTGGCTAGCGATTCGGAATGTAATTGTGATATTAAAAATACATTTAGAAAAGTCTACGGTTTTTACTTGCTTATCGAATAAACGATACGAATGGACCCTAGATCGTCACTGACGCTCAATTGACTGATTGCTCCTGGATGTCGGCTTCTTACAGAAACACAGCTTCCCTATCGTCAAATGTCACGGCACGCCACTGATTTAAACATCATTTATTAAGATTCAGAAATTCGAGTGATAAGATTATAAATACAGAAGTCAATTTTCGAACAGACGAAGAAATAAATAGAGTGGAAATATAAATAAATTAATCACAAATTACACTATAGTCAGTCAACTTAAAAAAAAAAACAGAGAAACTGGAGGCAATTTTACTCCTGGATGAAAAACGATGTGCACAGTAGTCATTGTATTAATATATAACTTCTAATTATTAACCATGGAAGCGTTGTTAGTGCAAGATTAATAAAAGCAAGGCCATTTAATATATCTGTAATCCAGATATATGCACCTACCTCAGATAGCAGTGAAAACGAGATTGGACTTTTCTATATAGATCTAAGCATGATAATAGAGAAAACACCGCGGAGAGTTGTGATCATCATTGGAGGTGACTAAAATAGAAGATAAAAACCTTGGACAAGATGGAAGAGCATGCACAAGAGTGGAAGAAATAATAGGCAATAGGAGAAGCAATTGAACAGACCCTACGAGATGAGGAAAAAATCGACAAGAAATGAATCACACAAGGGACCATAAAGCTTGTCCAAGAGAAAACTGCTCTTAGACTTACAAGAGACATTTCCGAAGAGTTGGAAAAAGAGTACAAGGTTAAAGTGCAATGAAGTGAAAAAAGCAATTAGGATGGATAAAGAAAAATGGTTACAAGATCAGTGTAGAAAATAGAAAAATATTATGGAAAATGTAAGACTAGAGAAGTATATAAGATGATCGGAAATGGAAACTAAAGCAAATGACAATCAAAGATGAGAAGGGAGAGATTTTAAAAAAAAATGGAAGTCCTAGAGAGGTGGACAAGTTATTGCTCTGAACTATACAAAGAAACGTTAGATACTAATAATCTAGTAGATGAATTAAGGAAGATATCGCCATCAAGTGTTGAAAATGAAATGATATTATGAGGACGGAAGTTGGAAGGGCAGTGAAACGGTTAAAAGACAATAATAGTTCCGGGCATGACAAAATCACAGGAGAAATGATTATGCATGGAGGAGAAAGCTTAATTAACGAGATAGACCAAGTGTGCAATAAGGTATAGACACAAGGAAAATTACTATTGTTGTAACGAATAGTATATTCGGCCTCAGGCAGAATAACGAATATTCGGCCAGGAGCGTTGCCGAATAGCCGAATATTGATTAACGCACGTACGAAAATTCGCGCGCAAACCGCGTTATGGCAAGGATCATGCTCTCTATTGGCCTGCATATCTGTAATCTGCTTCGCCTGTAATATCTGTAATATCTGTAATGTCACTACGCTTCGCCAATCGCGTTAATTCTTGGCAGTTGTAGCCGACAGACAAGAGTGTCATGGAAGTATGTGCTAAATGATGATATCAAATGACCTACACTTGTAAATAACGGAAAAAGAACAGAGAAAGACCGCGAAGTGAAAATGTGAAAATAAATATGAAATTTAGTTGATAACATAATCGAACGAGTCGAGGCAGCTTATTGCCGCGAAATTCGCGGCCGTCAATGCCAAACAATTGTTGTCATAGACTTCGGAAAGCTAAATGCTTGTAATGAAAGTCACTTAGCATGCACGGGCGAAAGCCTGGGGCCGTTCGGGCTATCAAGCTGTCTCGAATCTGTGAAATCATAACTGAGACTTATATCGACGTCCTATCTGTCTCTTTTCTTCGTTATCACCAGGCTGAGTCAGGTAATTGTAAAATGGGAACTCTACGACGGAAAAGTGACGAATCGAAAGTATCGTGAGCACATTTAATGATGTATGCATAGGCCTACGTGGACTAGAGCGATAGAGGAAAGAGAAAGGGAAGAGCAAAGACGAGCGCTTAAAAAGAAAAATAGTCAGAGTCAGACCCTCAGATGTGTGACGATTCTCGAACGAATAGGTGTGTACATGTGCTGATCCTTGTAATTATAAACTGTGAATACATGTGACTAATATTATTTTCTTTTTTATTTTGTGCATGTTACAAGTTATAAATAAATATAAGCAAACAACACTAACTCGATAACATTAAATCTAAACACCAAAATGATTAATTTACTGTGTTTTTGTTATTTATTACTCCTGTTTTTAGGTATTCGGTATTCGGCCGAATAGTGATTAAATATTCGGTATTCGGCCGAATAGTGATTAAATATTCGGTATTCGGCCGAATAGTGAAAATAGGCCGAATAGGCCGAATACCGAATAGTAACCGAATATTCGTTACATCACTAAAAATTACCTAATGAATTGGCAAAATCAGTATTAGTGACAATACATAAGAAAGGCAGCATGTTAGAGTGCAAAAATTATAGAACGATTGCCCTAACAGGGCATATAGGAAAAATTTTGATGACGATCTTAAAGGAAAGACTAATAATTTGATAAAAGAACACTTAGCAGATGAACAGAGAGGTTTCAGGAAAGACAGATACAATACAATACAGATACAAAAGTACAACGCAGCAGATATTAAATCTATTCCTGCTTTGTGGACTTTTAGAAGGCATTTGACAACATAGCATAAAATGCCACCTTGGCAGTGCTAAAATTTTATGGAGTGGATCATAAACTAATAAACCTGTTAAGTTATAATAATGATAATACACAAGCAGCAGTGAGATTGTGTGTGGAGCTAGGGAATTGGTTCAAACCAAAAAATACACTAGACACGGAGATCCTATATTTCAACTATCTTCGTAAGCCTCTTAGAAAGAGTTATGAATAAGATGACGTCAGTCGGCAGGAAACATCAGTTTACAGTGTAAAATTCAATAACCTGAGATTTGCACGATGATAGTTACGAATGAAGAAAGTGACGAACAACTGAAGAAAACATTACATCTGCTTAATGAAGACGGAAAAATATATGGTCTGACTATCAATAGCGAAAAAGTAACACAATGATATATGGTGATAACAACATGGCAAGAAACATCCTAGTAGATGTGAACGAAATTGAAAATGTAGAGAGCTTTACATATTTAGGAAGCAAACTAACCTATGATCTGGATTGCAAAAATGAAATAGCGATTAAAATAGCCAAGGCAAAAGCAAATTTGAAAGCAATGGACAAAATCTGGAAAAGTAAAGCAATTAGTTTGCAGACAAAATTCAAAGTATTGAACACCTGCATCTTCTCCTGCGTATTGTATGCCTGTGAGACCTGGGTAGTAACAAAAAATATGAAAATAAAGATATTAGCATTTAAAAGAAACTGTTACAAAAAGATATTACAAATAGGATGGATGCAGAAAGTCACAAACGAATAACTTTATGATAGGATATAATTGAAAAAGAATCTCTTACAAAAAATGTACAATGAAAACTTCAACTGTTTGGACACATCACAAGAATGTATGAAAACAGAAAAACTAAGACTCTAGTCTATGGTATTGTGAATGAATCTAATAAAAGAAGCAGCCCGTATAGAGAATGGACTGATGATGCGTGTATAGGAATTGAGAAACTTGGCAGTGGATAGAGAGAAATAGAAGGAAATAGTGGAAAAGGCATCAGACAACGACGGATCCCATGGTTAATGATGATGATGATGGCGTCAGAGAAATGAGTAGAAGTAACAAAAGCTAACAGAAGGTTGTAGTATCAGAAAAAGGTATTGATTGCAAAGTATAAAAGCGGTACTCGAGTGACGAATCTGGTGGCCATGCCAAAATCTGCAACCAATAAATGCAACAATATTTACGTATTTTATTTCATTATTAAGGCATTTTTGTGTTATTTCTACTTCAAATTGTGCCTGTTTGCTGTTTTAAGTTTATCGAAAAGGTTATTGTTTAGTCTCTAGGAATGGATTAATTCGTTTTCCATTATTTCCATCGTAAAAATTGACTCGAGCTTCGAACGATTCCTGGTTCGAACCTGGAATGAATTAAATTTCAAGAACGAGACATCACTGTAATCTTTTGTGTACACTATCTATTACTGTAATATAAGAAAAATGATAAATATGTTCTAAAACATCCAGAACGAAATACAGTAGACCCCACTATAACGCGGGTTCATGTAATGCGGATTCGTATATCGCGGCGAAAAAATTGCGACCGTATTCGTATAAAGACGCTAACAGAGACTCGTAAAATGCGGTAAAACGTCATCGCCGACTCGTGTCGCGACAGGATTAGTCGAATCTGGACCAATAGTGGACGAGCAACCGAACTACTTACAAGCTACGGAGAGTTTAGGCGGGTAAGTTGAGTTTACTATCGTCTGTACAGTATATAGGCCTAAATTAGGTAATGTAAGTCTAATACAGTACTGTAATTTTATACACTTCTTGTGAAAAAAAACATTTCTTATTCAACGGCCATAAAAATTATTTCTATTAATGATGTCTCCAAAGTTGAAAGTTATTTTTCTGCAAAAAATTCGTATCAGAAAACGCGGCCGCCGTTTGTTGCACCGCTCCGCGACGAAAACAAGCTTAAGCAATGGCGTGGTCGAACGGTGCATACTCGGTAAGTAATCCTACAATTTTTTGTTTATAGCACAGTTTATACGGATTATTTCCAAAAAATTATACGTGTTTTGGAATGTTGAGTCAAATTAGTCTAGAATCGATTAATTTTATTGAAGAAAACATTTCAAACAGCCGTAGTCCGTAAACTTCACACGTGTCGGGCTGCGATTGGCTCATGTATTTAAGGATTCCTACACGCGAAATTCTTATAAAGCGGAACGTATCTACCGCGTTATAGGGGGAGGTCGACTGTATATTTTTATGAAAAGAAAGGTCGTCTCAGCTAACGAAGATCATGTGAAAAGAACGACAAAGAAGACTATAAGAATACATTTATTCGTATAAGTCTTTAATATTTTGTATTTTGACAATTTGTTTATAAAAAGACAAATATGTTGTTGTATTCCAACTAATCTAACAGAGAAAAGTGAATAGAAAACGAAGACATGAAAAAAGCAATTCTATTTGTCTTTTATTTTTAACTCTGCCCCGTTGCACTACAAAAGCATTTCAGCAAGCTCATTAAACCCTGACCGTCACTCAGATAGATAATATCAAAAGAAGAATAGGATTAACCCGCGATGTTTTCATTAGAAACGTCAAAGATAGAAAACGTTTTCCCCTGTAAAGGCTGTCTCCATTAGAAGATAGAGCTCGAAGAATAAAGAAAGATTTTATATTTTTTTCAGAAGAAAAGCTAACTTCACAAACTAAAAATTTTTTATATGTTCAAAAGACTATTTTTCAGTATTTTCATAATAATAAAAATGTCTTTTTCTTAATTCAAATGAATCATCTGATTTCATGTTTCCAAATACTTTTGAAAGTAATTGAGAATAATGCTAAGAAATATTATAACAATAAAATTAAATGCAAACTGCCATTTTTTACACAGAAGTTAACCAATTATTTAACAATTAACTAAATGCTTAATTGCTATCTTACCCGATGGTCTTTCATCCAGCTTAACAGGAACAAAGAGTACAGCATGCAATTTCTTGGCTTCTCTATAACCATCCAGTGCAAGAAATCCGCCGAAGAATGTAACTTGATAGATGTAATCTATGAAAATACTTAAAGCCATGAAACTTCCAGTAATGTGGAGAATTCTGAAAGGAGTAGTTAACGCAATTAACGAACAAACAACGTTAGTCAAAGACGTTATGGTAATCGATACGGTAGCCTGGGAGAACGTTACACTCATCCTTTTTTCAACTGAATCTTTAGGATTGGTTTTTCTCCAAGCAGCTAACAAAACAAATGAGTCATCCAGTCCGATACCTGTAGAATACATTTAAGCAATCGAGAGTTTTGATTTATATTAAATAACATATCTATTTTTNATACTATTTCGTTTTAATAACTTAAAATATGTTTATTATTAAAATTTTGTATTATTTCTAAATAATTCGTTTTGTTTAAATTACAAAATGAAATTTAAAGACACAATACGATTATGAATCACTCTTAATTTTAATTGTTTTGATTTTCAATCACAATACTGTGAAATTTCTTGTAGGTATCACACCAAATGATAATGTGATTCCTACTTACTATATCACTTTATATATTTTAGAAACGTGTAGTGTCTGAGTCAGTGGTAAGGAACTAATAATGAAGCATAGATTTTTTATAAAAGACAATGAGTTCTGTAGGTATAAATTCCGATATAACTATACAACTATAAATACGACATTAGACAAATTGAATAAATGCAAGAACTATTCGTCAGAGTATTTATATGAACAATAATTAAATACTAAATAGAAACGACAAGTCAGGTGCTGTACAAATGGCTAATCCATGACAGGCCAGGGAAACAAACAAATTCGAAGTTTTAAACGTTTATTATATTCTATTTAAACCAGTGGCGTGCCGTCATTGAAAGCGGTGGAAGCGCCGCTTCCCTTGCATTTTCTAAAAAANGTGCTGTACAAATGGCTAATCCATGACAGGCCAGGGAAACAAACAAATTCGAAGTTTTAAACGTTTATTATATTCTATTTAAACCAGTGGCGTGCCGTCATTGAAAGCGGTGGAAGCGCCGCTTCCCTTGCAATTTCTAAAAAATAAATACATATTAATTAATTTTAATTATATGAAAATAATCGCACAATATTTTATTATAACCGCATTATGTATCTTATTACAAATTTCTATACTACACATGAAAAAAAAATAAGATCGCTATTGTATATTCGAATATTAGTGGCGGAGTGGAAGTGCTGTATCGTCAGCATCCAAAAAGCCAGATTCGCCCCCAATCTCACCCAGTTTAGCCGGTGGGAGCCTACGATCTCGGTTAGATGCTACACGTATACCGCATCCAATTCTATCAGGGACCGCTTCCGGGCCGTTAGCCGCCTGCTCGCTAGATATTTGACCCCCTCGCCCGATTACGGGAATCGCATGTCGATTTATAACTTAACTCGACCGATAAGAATTTACTGGTACGTTTTTACGATAGTTCTGTATAGTTGACAGGAGTTTAAAAAATCCATTAAAATATTTGATATTTTTTATCCGCTCTCCAATTTTATATTACTCACGGATTTCAATGTTAAACCGGTGATATTACGATTTCGTATATCCCATCTTTAATGCGATGTAGAAAAAATTCTTGTATAGGGGAGACCGGAGCAACTTCGGCATGCGGGGCAAGTGTGTCAAGCGCTTTTTTTCAAAAACAAATTAAAAGAAGACTTTGGTTATAGGTTAGGCAGTTGAGTTTTATTGGTGGCTTGTTGAGTGTAGTGTTTTTATTGTTCTCCAACAAGCGTAGTTGAATTATCAAGCAAATTTTCATTTTCGTTCAATTCCATATAATATTTTGCTTCCATTTATATTGAATTGGCAGGTTTTGTTATAATTCCATGATAACGAAAGTTACTTTTCCTGTTAGAAGGATGTAACTTCAACTTATTCACGTGGC